GCCGAGGATTTGGCTGTGGCTGTACCAAAATGGGTTGCCCGATCGGTAAGTGGAAACATGGACCAGAACCTGCGGTTTGCCCCCCCCCCTGTTTAATTTTGAGCCACACCCAATTTGTTGAGGGTGTCCCCTCTGTGGGGTTCCCAAATCTTCAGAAACCAGTCAACCGCAGACCTTGGGCGCAGAGCACAAATTAGCGGATCACCACGGCTCACCAAAAATGGAGCAACCCCTGGGCATGGCCATGCGATAGCGTTCGGAAGGCATGGCCTCAGTTGGACCGGAGCCATGTCCGCTCGTGGCCTTGAGGCGCTGGCCTGCCAGGGAGCCCCGGTGGGGGATGCCGAAGCTTTGAGGTCAAGGGAGAAATGGCGTAGGTCCTAGGACCCGGAAGGTGGTGTTCATGGATGTTGACCCCCATTTTAGAGGGGAGTTTCCCTGAGGGTAGTTTGGAAAAAGAACTTTTGGAGGGGAAGACCCCCCTATGAATAAACTGGGGTTGACTTTAACAGGGGGTCAACATTATTTCCGGAGGGGCAAAGAACCCAGCCTCTGTGCGCCACTCTCTGGGACAGTGCGATTCACCTTGCAGGGGAAGGGGTTGCCGCTAACCTCCGCTTCAGGGAAGTAACTAGCTGACTGGAAAAGGCCTTCCAAACTCTGGCCGAATGGATGGCCAAGTGACTCTTTGCCCCGGCCCCGCAGGCCCCGCCTTTTGGCAACAAATCCCATGGCCACAACGCATTTTTAGCACCAACATGCATGCCATTTGACGATCAGGGTTTTGCCTGGCAGGCGGCTTGATTGGGCTCCGCGAGAGAAGCATTCTTGTCTCGCGCTGCTAAAATGAGCAGGCCCAGAATGGCGCTCATCTTCATTCTCAAGAGCAAGCTGGCCAATCACTGGGTAACTGGCACGCATACTAGCCGAGAAGATGTTGTGCCTCTTTTCCTGACACCAAACAAGTTGATTGCAGCGGACAACCTAGTTTGATTTGTCATGTGAGCCAAACATGCAATTCAGCCAGCTAATGCTCAGACACCCATGCTGATCGGATCATATGTGCTCCATCTGGACTTCACCGCTTTTTTCAAACACGCGACAGATCGAATACGTGTGGATGTTTGACTGTTGTTTGCTTTTTCGGCCATCAGTCATGGCTTGAGCCCGGTTTACGTTTGTATACATGAAACCAAAATGCATTCTTCTCGCATCATCAGGACTTAGCCTCCCACCAGCTAACATAGGTTGGTGCACAGACCCTTGTAGAAAGACGACTTTCCTCTTGGTTAGTTGGCCTTCTTGCACAAACCCATGTTAGTTGGCCCCATCTGACCGCTCCAGCGAGCCACCAACTCAGGGGCCGCTGAGGATGCTCCCGCAGAAAGGTGCCGAAGGCCGCGGGTGAGTTGGGGATCCTTCCTGCCCCTGGGGGCGGTTTGGTTGGGCGCGTCGGTTTTTTGGCTTCAGGGTACCCTTTTTTGAGGTGGTTTTAAAGGAAACCACAAGGAAAAACCATCATTTTGTTGCTTGACTACCATTCGGTTAAGAACATGTTTATTGTCCCTTGTTGGTTTTAAAGGGAATCTATCGCTACTGGAGATATTTTTATTTTTTGCAAGGGGCTTAACCAAATGGAAGTTGAGTACCCTTTTTTTTGTGGTTGCAAAGGAAACCACAGATCATTTCGGGGGTCCCCGAAAACAAAACTTCAGGTGAAGGTTCAACTCATATCCTTGATGTTAATTATTTTGCCCCTTTCTTCTCGGCGAAAGCTGTCCTTCTTGAAGGCTCCCAGGAGTTTGTCTGATGCAATTTCTGAACCGCAGTCCAGGAATTGACAAATGGCTGTGGCTCAAAAACATGTACTAGAATGGCCCCTTGGTAGGCGTGGCAAAGGGACTTGGCTTTTGTTGGACAGAGTGCACCAGCCCAAGTAGGCATTTGCAAACCCCAAGTTGATTTGGTGTTGAGGTACGCTCGAAGCAGTTCAGGCTAATCAAGATACTTGCCGGGTGATGCTTGACATCATATCAGTTGTTGTCTTGATCTGACATTTTCCTGGATTGGGACGAGGTCCTCATCCTTCCCCTTTGGGGTGGTTTCAGCATGATCTTTGGCCGCCATGTTCCCTTTTGGTGCGGTGACCGCGTGGAGAGGGACATAAGAGATCAACGGACAACATGTCAGGGTCCGAAGACCTGCCTGGTTGGACTGAGGGAACTGAGAATTCAGACCACCCTTTCATTTGTGGCCCACCCCCCCCCCCCCAAATTGAAAAGAAAAACACCCAGAACCACATAGACTAGGTCCCCCTTGTACCCTTTTTTGGGGGAGGGATCCGCAAAATAGACTACGGAAACAAAATCGGGTACCAACTTCTTCTAACCTCTCAAATCTGGAGGAAATAGTAGACAACCCTATAGGATTCCGGTCAATCCTGGTTTTCTTAGCCATGGGCCAGGCGCTGTGATGGTGGGCGCGGCGGTGGTGGCGGTTC